ATAATACTTCCCAGCCATGTGAATAAGTCAGGTAAAAGAGATATTCAACTGTTTTGATTTGTTTTACAGTACTGACCTCTGCAATCAGCCTATACCAAAGCCAACACAAAAGAAGAATGAACAGAGCCAAGGTCCATAAAATAAAAGTACTCAATAAAATTAGCCAATCAACACTTATTCTTTTCCAAGTCAAAACCAAGCAAGTTCTTCAAAAAAAGGGGTGCAGCACAAAGCCCAATACTGCAACCAGGGGGTCAGGGGGAAGCATACACCACACGAGTGAGATTTGTATAAGGTCTACCTGTAGAGTGGAAGTGTGTCTAGCAAGCTTGTCGGCAAGGGCCTCAAGTCCCCCCGCTTCCACAACAGTGGACTTGCTATTTATATGAAATGATGTAATTATTGATAGCAGCCAAAGGGCAACAGTACCCCCCAAGACTGTTGCTGGATCAGGAACCTCAAACTCATTTTCTTCCCCAAATGGAGTCCTTTCAGTGAAACCCCTAGGGGTTCTGACTTCAATTTCTAAGGAAGAACAATTGGAGTTTTTCTTCATCATGTCAACTAACGCATATATAAGAGGTTTCAAGTATCCAGATGCATAAAGTGCATCCATTGACTGAACTTTATGTTCCTTGGCAGCACAAATGACCAATGCTGTCCCACCAACTCTTACTTCTAGACTGCTAGAATTCATTATTCTATCAGCCAATGCACCTATCGCCCTGGATCTTGATACTAACAGGTCACCTAGCAGAATTGGTTGATCTCCACAAAGCCTGGATAAAATTTCTATTACTTTATCTTGGACTAGGGGAGATCCCTCACAGAGGTAATGTATAAGAGGCTCTAAACTAGACGGTACTTCAGCAAGGGCAGTCCATGGGTTGTACGACAAATGTGTGCCTTGTTTTGTCCTAGCAAGAAGTGCAATAGCATCTAAAGCATCTGCAGCATCAGTTCCATCTGCATTCATCGCTTTTAAGGATTCCGCAATAGCCAGAACAGCAAATCGACACTGAGCAGTTCCTATCAGTACATCTCCCACTGGAAAATGCATCAATAGCTGATGAAGCGCACGTGATGCATTTTTCTTACCTTCGAACGATCCTTCTCCTAAAACTCGGGTCAAAGCTGAAACAACATCTTCAGCCAGTGCTTCTGCAGCTATCTCTGGATCAGACAACAGATTGGCTAAAGCAGCTATTGCAGTCTCTGCAGAATCAATAGATGCAGTTTTGGCCAACTTAATTAGTGGTCTTACATCCCCTTCAGCAATATAAGGCATCTTGGTTGTAGATTTTGCTTTTGTTGGACGGGACAAAGCACCCAAGGCTCTAGCTGACTGTGTTGCAACAACTGGAGTATTGCTAGTCAAAAGCTTCATGCAAGGATTAACCACTTCATCTGTTGCGAGGCTATCACAAATATCATGTCGAGTGCTGAATATGTCAGCTAGGACAGAGGCAGCATATTCTTGAGTCTTTTCATTTGAGGAATTTAGAACTTTGACAAGTGACCTTAGCCCTTCGTTAGCAGCGGCCCCNAGCCCCTTTACGCACAAGGTCATTCTGAGATGCCATGGTAAGCACATGACCTAACACCTTAATTATATGGGCCTTTGAGCTTGGTGAATCTCCCTTTAGTAATACTAGCAATTGATTTATGGTAGCCGAATCAGCAGTCGCGATTAGCTTTGTTAGGGTCCTAGCTGATGCTTCTTGCCCCTTTGGTCCACCATTTTTGAGAAGCCACAAGAACGAATGTATAGCTCCAGCACTTTCAACGCAGGCACGGATGTCTTCACTATGGCAGCACAGGTTATACATAACATGTGCTGCATCTTCCTTAGCCTTCTGAGACCCCATTTCTAGTAACTGAACAAGTGGCGGAATCCCACCAGCGGCAGTGATTGCCCACTTGCTGTCATCAACTTGGTCAGTTAGGATAGCAAGCATCTCAACAGCATACTCTTGATGTTGTTCACTGGATAACCCCAGCAGTGATATCAGTAACTGAATCCCTTCTCTCTTTCCAATTGCATCCCAGACACTCACTTCATCACAACATAACTGTATCAGGGAGAGTATCAGATACTCTTGTACATCACCGCTGGCCATTGTTATGAGGCCCGTAAGAACCTTCTTAGATTCTGATTGGTGGACCAGATTTGATAGATAAGCATTGCCGTAAAGACTTGCCATGGCCTCAAGGAGACGTTCCTGGACCAACTTATTATCCCGTGGCTTTAGGAGCATTATTAGAATATTCTCAATCTTCGTTGCATCAAAAGGTTCTTCTTCTGCGTTGAGCTCAAAGACCATAAGAGCATAAGCAAGTGCCCCAATTATATCAGCAACAGGAGCAGCTAACCTTGGGGACTGAGAAAGCTCACCCAAATACAACACGAGGGCACACATTCCACCACATATATTGGATAAAGCTTTTATTGTGTGCCACTGGAGCATCTCCCCTCCTTCGCCTTGCATACATTCTTTGGAAGGAGCTACAACAGCCCCTATGAGAATTGGCACACCCTGTGAGTCAACAATAGCTTTCTTTGCTTTGGTTGATTTTAGAGAAAGAACCTCTAAAGCCTCAGCTGCACTGGCACGAACAGTTACATCATTTTTCTGATGTAAGAGGCTTAGGAGAGCTTTGATTGCTCCAGAATCAATTATTTTTGGAATGCTATCACCGAATGCCAACATCACTCGGGCCAATAGAGAAGCTGCATTTGATTGAGCTGAAGCATTATCAGAAGAAAGAAGTCCTACAATAATGTCAACCCCACCACCCTCAAGAGTTGCCTTCCAATGTCCATCTTTATCACCACAGAGATTTCTCAAAGCCCCAGTCACAAATCCTTCTACTGTTTTATCCTGCTTCTGTTTTGGATTAAGCTGCTCCCACAAAGTTGGTACTACA